ATTTGGAAATTTGGAAATTTGGAAATTTGGTAATTTGGAAATTCGGTGATTTGGAAAATTGGAACTTTGTAAGTTAAGAATGTTAATAATTTGGAAATATTTGAGTATAGTTATTTAGATATTTAGAAATGCAGAAATGCAGAAATCCAGAAATCCAGAAATTTAGAAATGTACAAATCTAAAAATCTAAAAATCTAAAACTCTACAAATCTGCAAATCCATAAATCTGTAAATTCATAAATCCATATATCTCTAAATCTGTAAATCCACAAATCTACACATCTATAAATTTAACAACCTACAAATCTACAAACCTATCAACCTACAAATCTAAAAACCTAAAAATTGATAAAACAAAGATATGAAACATTTCCCTTCAAAAATGTCACCAACCTTAATTTCCAAATTGAAAAATTTAAAAATATGCAAATTTCAACTAAAAAAACTGTCCAATCTAAATACCCTCCGCTTCTCTAACTAAACGATTCAACAACATTTCGCGTAATATTTTCATCAGATTATCCCAACAAAAAAAAGCTAATAAAAATTTCATCGAACACAGAAATAAAATCTATAGTAAAGAATCTTCCATTTCTAAGCATCCGATGTCTCTTCACTTTGCCAGTTTAATATTTGCGCAGATAAGTCTCTCCATTTCACTTCGCGTATAACATAATAAAACCGGAGGAATTCTTTATTTACTTCCGTCGAAACAATAGAAGACATACCGTTGTCTCTGTAATCCAGTAGACGTTTGTTGAACATCTGCAAGTATTTGGAATTCCTAGAGAATGCCAGGCCATAACCAGTCATGGCGTACCATGATCCCACAGTCAGTAATCGGCAGTCCTCGTTTTGCGCCACCAAATAATCCAAAACAGTTCCGTCGTAGATAAACGCGTCCATTTCCCTAGCACAAAAATACGTATTTTTAAAAATAAGTGAATTTCATGAATTGAAAGTCAGATATTGGCAAGATAAAATCATAAATTAATTTCTGTCTGTCCTTTTAAGCTTTTGCAGACGTATTTTCATATTGAATGACTTCACCGAAATACGCGATCAATATTATAATATAAAGACTTCTTACTCGTACTCTTTTGATCCCTAATTAAATTAAACGAAAGAATGATTAAAAGTAACGAAAATGAACAGAGTTCGCGAAGCCCCGTACATTAGAGAAGTTCGGAATACATTTCACAGTCTTCTCAAAGTTAATCAGAGTTTACCCAACTCATGCTTCGGACTCCAATCCTTGTCTTCGCAAGACATTATCGCGAACTAAGTGCCGCGCCAGAATAACACTAATCAAGTAGCAAATGCAGCAAGATAGCAATAATCATGACGAAAGCGGAGCGAGCTGGCTTTCGAATTAAGCAGGGTCGAACAGTTCGGAACTTCGATAACAAACTCTGTATGCATTGTCGCACAATATTCGTGCATTAAGCATCGAGATATTCAAATTGCCGTACAATAACCGAGAGACATTAGACACATTATAACTTCAAAATGGTTCTGCTACTCAAATTACCGTTTAAACAATTTCTCTGTTATTTTCATACTTTTATGAGCTTCGTAAAACTGATCAACGTAAAGTTATATTTCTCTCGCATTTTGCATTTTTATGTGGTACTATCAGCTGAATATTTATGTTACAAAATGCGTGTACGTTAGCTGGATATTTATGTTACGTGTATTTACGTCGGCTAAATATTTATGTTACGTATCTACGGTACAATTCACGTGAAATTTGTTTGTACACTAAAAATTAATATTTGGCGCTAACAAGACATGACTTGTTTAAAGTTTAAATATACTCAATTTTAATAAATTATCTAAATTACAAATTTTCGTTGAAATGTATGTTATATATCGTTGAGGTATTAGTTGCATATTTTAGTTGATATTACATATTAATTAATATCTTGCTACTTATTCATTTTTCCTCTTCATTTCCAATTTTGAAGTAAGTGTTAACCACAGTAGTTTAACGTTAATATTATAATTTTCTGAGAACGTCAGATTAATAAAAGGTTGGAACCTTCATATAAGTAAATTATGTTGTAGGATGGACCTAATTTACTATAATTGGTATTCTACCCTCACCCGCTTATAACCGTCTCGATTCCTTCAGCAACGCTGCTCTTGTTGAATTTCTTCATGTATGCGTGCATCTCCTTGAAGTACTTGGCGAGGGTGCTGTCCGTGTGGCTCCAAGGTATGGTGCCGAATTTGAACATGGGTTTATGGGAATACGGTCTCGCCAAACGGTGATCGTCCACCCCTGTAAATTCGTGGAACTCCTCCCTCGTGATCATGAAAGCGGCCAGGTTGGCAGTGTAAATGGCCAGGAACACCACGGCGAACAACGCCCACACGTTCGTCATGAATCTGAATTAAACATACGTGCCATATTATCGTTCCATAAATTACATTTCAAATTTTACTTCTCAAAAATCTGAACCTTCAAAGCTTCAAACTGTGAAGTTTTACTGAATCAAACGATTATTTTAAAAATTTCAAATTTTATTTTTTGAAAATCTGAACCTTTAAAGTTTCAAACTGTGAAGTTTTACTGAATCAAACGATTATTTTAAAAATTTCAAATTTTATTTTTTGAAAATCTGAACCTTCAAAGTTTCAAACAATAGAAATTCTGTTGGAGTTCAAACGATTATTTTAATACTTTAAGCGTCCTACAATATTACATTTCAAATTTTATTTTTCAAAAATCTGAACTTTCAAAGTTTCAAACAATAGAAATTCTGTTGGAGTTCAAACGATTATTTTAATACTTTGAACGCCCTATAATATTACATTTCAAATTTTATTTTTCAAAAATCTGAACCTCCAGCCAAAGTTTCAAATTGCGAATTTTATTTAACCAATCGATTATTTTAACAGTTTCATGCGTTCTTTTATAACATACATTTGCTTCAAACATTAAAATTAAATTAAATTCAGAAACTTATTAATATAATATATATGAAATTTATTTTAAATTTCAAAATTAAATTAAATTCAGAAACCTACTATTATAATACATACGACATTGCTTTAAATTTCAAAATGAAATTAAATTTGAAAACCTACGTATTATAATGCATGTGACATTTGCTTCAAATTTCAAAATTAAATTAAATTCGCAAAGATTTGTCGCTGCTTTTTGTTTCCAAGTATGAATGCATAAATTGTCATCGAGCTTGTAACAGATCTTTAGTAAATTGTATTGTTAAGTAAATATTAACAAGAGTATGTATTAATTAAGTTTTGAAATTCTACTGCAGATTTCTTTTTCCAATAAAGTTTAATGTCAACATACGAGTTATTCATTGAAACGCGGTGTAACGTGATACAACGTAAAAGCAAATATTGGTTTCCCAAAAACTGAAACAACTCTGTCAAAAATCAAATTTTTCTGTTGGAGTTCTATTTGCATATTGTGTGTGAGATACAGAAGGTAGGTAAATCTTTTTTATTCAAATAAAACATATATGCATTACATGTATGGATTAATTCTGCATAAATCAATCTTTTTTATTCAAATAAAAAGTATATACAATACGTGTAGGATTAATTCTACATAATTCAATATGGTATTTAAAACGACGAAAGAGTGCATATCCTTTAAATTTTTGGACAAGAAGAAATTATAATTGATTGTTGTCTGGTGTTAGAAAGTGGAGAGTTGAAAAATTCGAAAAATAAATTAAAATTTCCCTTTTGACATTTCTAAATTAGATCTAAGTATGTAGATCAGAATGATTTACTTTAAGTCTCAAAATTTTAAATTGTACAATTTTTTCTTTCAGAGAAATCAAGTTTGGTGAACTTAAATAATAATTGCCTGTGCAATTTTATAATAAATATTTCACTTTTCATTTATTCGTCTTTGTATTTAATTATCAATTTAAATGTAAATTGATAATATAGTCATATAATGTATAAATTGAGAGATAAGTTTATTATTAACTTCCATTAACTTAAAATTAATATTAAAATTTTCATAAACTAAAAAAATTAAGAATTTCCGTAACTAGTTTGTTTATTAATTATTTTGACACTGCTTGAAAAATAAGAAATTTCTAAAATCTTCGATCTTCGATATAAAATTTAAGGCCCTAAGTTTGAACACAAATCAGAAACAATAATGAATTAATCTACTTATAATTCATCACAAATTATTTATACTTAACCCCAATTCAGTAATCAATTGTTAATTTATTTATAATTATTTTCAGTTAATTCTGCATTAATGCATCTTCCTAATTAATGTATTAATTTCTTCCTGCTGAAGAAATATTTCTACACCCCTGCATTATGATTTGTTTGTCAGGTGCGTAATCACAGCCACAATATTAAAACAGACAAAGAAAGTTGAAACGTTATGTCAATTAATGTTATCAATCGTTGACCCTACAAATAATTGAACTCGAACTTCAAATTGAAGTATACAAAAGATTCGAATAAAATTGATCACAAAGTACGAGTGTGTCACGAGACACATATGTGTGTTTTTTAAAATAGTGCAAGGGATTAATATATAAGAAAAAGCTCATCAATTTTTATTCCAATCGCAACGTTGTATATTTTTTAATTGACCCAGTTCCTTTGGACGTTAAATCGTTTAAAACGAGATTTCTATCAGTAATTGTATATGTAACGCTCCGGGCGCTGAAGAAAATTATCGTCAAACTACAATTCGCAGCACCGTCTTCTCGTGAAACGGCGAAGGAAAGAGGAAAGCTTAATGTGCAATGAAAATGTAGATAAACGCGTTTTCTAGCGATAAGCGCATCTCGCCGTGTTCGATGACTCTTCGCCAAGAACAGAGAAAACGTTAATCAGCTTACTTTCTTTATCGCCGTTCTACAAGCGTGCCGCTGCAAATATATTAATACACGACAAAGATTTTAATTCCGATAGAAATTGTTTTACCGACCTGGCTGTGAATCCCCTGGGAGAATCGATATGGACGGCTGCCTGAAATAATACTGCCCAGACCAACCAATACGTCCGACAGAAAGAGAATCGATGGTTGGGCGATGGATTCTTCTGTAACCGGCAAAAAAACATAGGCCTTCGTTTTCGTCCATTTTGTGGTCGTTGTTCGCGGACGGCGTTGCGATAATAATGCAATAATAATAAAACGTTTCGTTCTCTAAATGGAGTGGGTTACATGCTACATTGTGGGGTTGAAACAGCGTAAAGGCATGAAAAAAAGATGAACCGATAAAATTCGAAGAGTTTCGAACAGTTTATTGTATCGACACTTCATAGACTTTACTTTTGAAGTAAACTTTCGTTCTGAAGTGTTTACGTCGTTCTGCTTTATGCTATTTTTATTAAGGGATATAAGTGAATGAAACTTGAGCATAATTTTTAAGAGTAATTCATTTTTGGACTAGGTTATAATAAACTTAAGTTAAAAAGGTTAGAAATACGGAAAGCACTGTACAAGAAAAATAGAATAAATATGCTGTATCAACCCCATTGAGATTTTTAACTGTAATTGTTTGTTTGAAGAGCAAACTATGGAAATATGTCAGAATATTTGCGGATAAATTAGCAAAAATATTTTTGAAGAGTTGAAGCAAAAACGAATGGTCCTTCTTACATTAATATGTAAATTAAAGGTAAATTATAATAGATATATAAATTAATAATAAAATAGGTATGTGAATAGATGGTTGACAATTAAATAGATAAATAAGTAAATGATTGATAATAAAATATACGAATAAAAAAAATTATTAATAATAGAATAGATAGACGAATAAAAATGATTGATAATAAAATAACTACATAAATGAATGCTTGACAATAGATTAAATAGATAAATAATACAATTATTAATAAAATGAATGGATCAATAGATAACTAATAATAAAATAAGCAAATAGATGATTAATAATAAAACAATGAAAAACAGTGAAATAATAATAGTAGTAAAACTAAAATAATAAATACAAAATTAAATAATTAGTGAGTAATAATTAATTAAATAATAAATAAACGTAGATGCCTAAATCTAATTACTGAAAATAAATGAACATGAAACATGCATATGCACATACAGCAAAATATCGCATAAAACCATGCACACAATAAGCACTTTAAACTCAAAACATCGACAATAAAAAAAAGGTTTCAATACTTCGAAAAAAGAAAAATGGCGTAGATGTGCAAAAACCACCGTCACATAATTAATCTCTCTTTATTGTATTGCAGTTTCATAGAGTGCAGTGTCACTGGAAGTAACATTGTCCGGTGAATAATATTAATTTCTGAGTGCTGTTAGGTCGAGAAAGTATACACAGCTCTAATAAGAAGCGAAATTAATAGTACCGGTCTCCGAGCAGCGCCTGAAGGGTTTACCTTCATGTTGAAACCGGATGGCGACAACCATTCGAACAGCAATATCATGATTGTGGCTGCGTGGATGGCCACAATGCCCACCAACATCCAGGATGCGGTGTCAAATGGTTCTGGAAACAACCATTCTATTGTTCAAACTCTTATTTCCAAACCGGGACAATAGACCTTTTCTCTTGCTTTCTAACTCAAACTACAAACTGTACCGCTGGAATACGAAAGATTGTCCACAACTAAATTTTTGAGGAAAACATTTATTATTGGGAATCTTATTGGAATGAGGACCTGTTTCTTACGAAAATTGTGATTCATTGTAGTATTTTTAGGTATTTAGAAAAATGATACTTCAGAGTTATGTTAATTATTATTTCTAACCTCTCGATCTTTTCTACACTTTACAATTAAATTATAATAGTTATTGAATTAACCTCGAGCAAATGCAATTTGTTTGTCACATATAAACCTCGATACGACGAGTCTAATCCCATGTGACAAGAGATTAATGACTCTAAATAAATAAGTGACCAAGAATGGTGTCATTAACGAGTACATTTACCTGCAAATGTAAATGTACCTGTCAGAGTAACAATTTTATCGATATAATATTAGTATCATCGATGAAACATAATTATTAATAAAAATAAGCAATGAAGTTGCTCACCAAGAAAGGCAGTAGGAGATATAATACCAGTCCTCTTCGCCACCACTATAGCAATACCAGTCTCCATATATGGCACCGTAAAGTCAACGACCGCCTCCCGCTCCGAATTAATCATCAGGGACGTCATCACCATGTCCGTCTTCCGGTTTACAAGGTCCGCAATCAAGCCGTTCCATTTTCCGTTCTGTGCACAACGAATGTGCCATGAAATTTTATGTTTCGTTTGATCGCTTCAATCTGTATCAAGTAACTACACCATAAGGGGTCGTAATGTTCGTCAGAAACGGCGATCGACGATTATATTACCGTTCTGCCGATCGTTTTCAGTGTTCAGATATGTGTACTTAAGGGAGAAGTGTTGTAGGCGCGAGAAAATGGGGGTGAAGGCAAATATTAATATTTACAATAATTTATAACTTCATTTATAACAATACTTATACACATTGTTATGTACATATTTATTTAAAGGAAATAAATAATTTAAAAAATAATTTCAAAGATAATTTATAAAATAATTTTAAAAAATAATGTATGAAACAATTTATAAAATAAGTTATAAAATAATTTCAAAGATAATTTATAAAATAATTTTAAAAAATAATGAGTGAAACAATTTATAAAATAATTTATAAAATAATTTCAAAGATAATTTATAAAATAATTTAAAAAAAATAATGTATAAATCAATTTATAAAATAAGTTATAAAATAATTTAAAAGATAATTTATAAAATAATTTTAAAAAATATTGTGTGAAACAATTTATAAAATAATTTTAAAAATAATTTCAAAGACAATTTATAAAATAATTTAAAAAAATAATGTATTAAACAATTTATAAAATAAGTTATAAATAATTTCAAAGATAATTTATAAAATACTTTCAAAAATAATTTAAAAAAATAATTTACAAAAATAAATAAATAATCTATTTCCCTTAAATAAACATGCATATACAATAACCCTTAAAATAAAATAAAAATAAAAATTCATAATAAATTTCTTTAAACACTTTGCGATAACAAGAATTATAACAGTCATATCGTATTCCGAAGCTCGTAAATCGATCCTTATCAGACCTATCAAATATAATTGGATTGATCCGATAATTACCGATATGAATTGACTGGTACTCACCTCTAGTGTGCCCCACTTGCCATCTTCGACCCTGACAAGCTCGTAAGTGAAGCCTATCTCCTCAGAGAACTTTTGCAGCAGATCGATGCAGAAACCACTGCAGCATTGATAAAAGCTCTCGTTCTTCTGCGCCGATTGGATGTCCACCCTGAAAAACGACAGCTACTGAGCAACAGCATGGTTCGTTTCCTCCAGAGAACGTTTTATTACATCCCTTCGACACGTAAGCGAAGGTAGCTCGTTTCTTGATCATCCCCTGGACAAAACTTTGTACGATTGTCTCGACAAAAAACTTGTTCGATTATTGACAAGTATTTTGTTCTCGTGATCAGAGATTGAAATTATTTGAACTGTTAATTAGCCTCGGAGAGGAGTGGAAGTCGTCATTGCTTGACTTCTGTTCTCTTCGATTGGTGAAAGGGGAGAACTTTGGGAGTTGAAGAATTTGGGAGTTTAGGGAGGTGAAGAACTGGGAATTTGGAAGTTTGAGAAATTTGGAAATTTAGATAAATAGGAATGAGGAATTTAGAAATTTTAGAAGTCGGAAATTTTGGAATTTGAAAGATTACAGAGTTGATGATTTTGGAATTGGGAAATATAGAAAATTGGAGATTTCGGAATTTGGAAGTTTAGATAATTAAAAATAAGTAATTTCGAAATTTTGGAAGTTGGAAGTTTCAGAATTTGGAAGATTACAGAGGTGATGATTTTGGAATTGGGAAATTTAGAAAATTGGAGATTTCGGAATTTGGAAGTTTAGATAATTAAAAATAAGTAATTTCGAAATTTTGGAAGTTGGAAGTTTCAGAATTTGGAAGATTACAGAGGTGATGATTTTGGAATTGGGAAATTTAGAAAATTGGAGATTTCGGAATTTGGAATTTTAGATAATTAAAAATAAGTAATTTCGAAATTTTGGAATTCGGAAATTACAGAATTTGGGAGATTACAGAGTTGATGATTTTGGAATTGCGAAATATAGAAAATGGAAGATTTTTAAATTTGGAAGTGTAGATAATTAGAAATTAGTATTTTGAAAATTTTGGAAATTAAAAATTTAAGTAATCAAATATAATTTTGAAACTTCATAAATTTGTAAGGATGCCTTGTAAGCTTGAAACACTTTTATACACAGTAAAATTCCTCGTAAGCAATCACAAAACACGAAAACAAGCGCTATCTATCGACACAAACGCTATAACAGATCAATGCAAAAATTCTTTTTGATCATGTACAAAATTCCTGTGTAATGCAGCTCCCATGTTGTACATCACGCGTTTGACATGGCGGCAGATGAACCGTGACAGCTAATATGGAGTCTGGTGGCATCATCATCAATGGCGCTTACTAACAACAACAATATTAATCCAGGCAGGAATTCACGTGCGACAGGTATCATCGATCGTGAAGCGATGCTTGCTGATTGCAAGATGTCCGTCCAACGGGAATGTATCCTAATTAATGCAACACACCAGGCGTAATTGTCGAATAAATTTGCGGGGAAACAGGCTTTAATGACGCAGGCGTTAGACAAACGAAGAAGCAACGGCTGCCCACGGGGCTATTATGCCCGAATTTAGCTACCGACAAGGGCTAGTAATATCGCAATAACTGCCCTCTGAATATACAGACCAAGACAGAAGTATACCTACATCTCCTGAATTCAGAATTTAGATAACAGTCCTGTGTTGTTACAGTGCTAACTGGGCTTCGTGCGTTTATAGCAGTGTCTATATTAATTTATGCACTTACGAAGTAAATTGAACTAGTAAAATATGACTGGGAAAATTAGTTGCGTTATTTTATATAAAATTTTAACGCAAACGAGAGATATTTGGAAAGGAAATTTGGCATGAAAATTTATTCGGGGCTCTTAGCATATTTGAACGGTGTGGAAATATTTGAATTTAGCGAATAATTTAGAGGGGTTCTCTTTGAAATAACATGTACTCGTTTACTAGGTGTACTGGTTAATTCTTTCTACGCTGGATTGCTCTGGATGAAAATTTACAAAGTATTGTTTTATTAAAAAATAGAATTATGAACTATTAACCGATACGTCTGATATGTGAATGTATAAGAAAACGAGATTTTGTAGGAATTAGTAAAATATGACAAAGGAGAAAATAATAGTAAAGTTAGGTTTTAAATAATTTCCTTCTAAAAAGGGACAACCTGAAGAAAGCTTAATCTTCAACCAAAATTCCGCATTAATCAGTTCATCTAATTTTTCTTAAATACTAAAATTAATAAAATACAAGTACAGAGTTGCCGAAGAAAGTGAAAAGTTGTTATTGGAAAACTATTTTTGCTCGCTCTCTTATTCTACGCGAATGGTTCACCTTCCGTTTTTATCGGGGAACACTAAGAGCAATTATCTTTCTTTTCTACTGGCATTCTGCCATATCGACTCCACTCGAGGAACAAAGAGATTCCATCACTATTCTACGCTTTATTTCCAGAGAACTGTTTGGCCCACTAAGCTTTTTTACTACTGTACCTTCACATTGAATTATCGGAGAACTGACAATCAGAAATCCAAACGAATTATATTAGGAAGAACCTTACAGAGGCTATTTTTCAACTTAATTTCCTTGGAAGCGTATTATTATCCAGGAAATGTTATTTCGTTTCTTTCTTTTAACATTTCAGTTGTTTGAAACTTTTGAAATTAAATATATCGATGTTTTGAAAATTCAATGATCGAAAGAGATTAGTTTCTTATAATCAAACTGAGTAATTTATTCAAATCTGAATACAAAATTAATTTTTATTTCTATTTGTTCCTGTATCATTTATTATGAAATTAAAGTGTTGTTGAAAAAAAGATTATGTTAGATTTGAACACAATTTACAAAAGAACTGAAAGTTAACTTCGAAGTCAAATTAATACTTCAGACATAACCTTTAAAGTATCAAACAAGATGTCCACTCTGAAGAGCTAATTGTGTTGCGTGATTATAAAAGCTATTTTGTGTTTTATACAAAATTTGTCTTAAATTAAATTTGTTTTATATTAAAATTTGTCATTTTTGAGCAATCTGTATATTAAACTGTAATTTAAAGATGAAATTCTATAACCAAGCATAATTTGAAGATGTAGTTATAAGTACAGTCGTAAACCTAAAGAATTTTATATTAACTTTGAATTGAGAGTTTTGCCATGACCTAACCTTGACATATATTTTAACTTTGTCACAGTTTACAAAATAGCGTTAAAAATGTGTTTAGTATTTTGGCAAACGATTAAATAGGGAAAGTGTGATCGACAGAGACATACTGTTAGAAAACCACCATCGCCTCAAACCTCATAGAACTCGGTTAGGGCAAAGTACTGGACTAAACTCGATTCACGCAAAATCCAGTTAACCATGTAGAACGTACCCTGACATTCCGGATTGACATCGTCAAAGTTCGACGAAACTTGCCAGAAATTCGTGCAACTTTGACAGATGTCGCTTAAACTACGGAGACCGTCTAAACTATGTTTGCATTCGATCCAACTTTCTATGTGTACATTTTTCCCCTAGTCAAATATATTGCTCACTTTGGCCATGGTATATTTACTTAGCAACAAGTTTAACGGTGAAACTAAACTTATAATACATACATAATTTGACATTAGAAATAAACGCTCAAATAATAATATACAGATATCAACCCACGAGTGAGGTCGATCAAAAATAAAAGCTCACCGTGAATATTATAGTTAAACATATAATAACTAATAACTAAATAAAATCTTTAATCTAAGTTCTCAAATGAAAAATCAAATAGAAATTTGCTCTTCATAAGTAAAATCTTTATATTCGAACCGTAGATTCCAAATATAAATTTTTAACGTCAGCACACTCAGTTGAGAAAAATGCCAACTAATTAGCGTTCGGGCATGCGCCTTACCCACCGAAATTTTTCAAGATTTTTGTCGAAACCGTTTTTCGAATACAGTCGTTGACGAACCGCTAACCGCATAACCGAACCCAACCATTGTTTCTTTATCAATCTTTATTATCTTCGTATCGTTACAGTTAATTGTTCGTTCTGTTATTTACGTGTTTGTTAAATAAACTGACAAAGTAAAATTCATGTCCAGAAGTACAAAGTT